AAGGGGCAGCCAAAGCGGCCCAGCAGGGGAGGCCCCCTCAGGCTCAGCCACCGCCGGGACCTGGACCTGCAGGTGAGTCTGCCACTGGTGCCCTCGCCTGTGCCGCAGAGAGCCGGCTGCCCCCGCACCCACCGTGCCCCTGCTTCTGGCACCGCAGGCCCCACTGCTCCTGAGAAGGGGCCTGGGCTGTGGCCTCCCCGGCAGAGGACAAGCCTCTTAGGATGAGCACGGGGTCCCCACTGGAGCCTCCGCGGCCCAGGCGCTCTCGGCAGGGACCTGGGAGGGACGGGAGCCCAAAGCAGGACCTTGACTTCCTCCTCTCCTTCCTCCTCCTCCTCCTGACTCCCGTCTTCCTTGACCTTCACACCCTCTTCTCCCTGTCCTTCCCCTTCTTCCCTCTGTCCGCCCCGCCATCCCTGGACTGTGCTCAACACCCTCACACCGTCTCCCTCAGCTCCAGGAGCCAGGAGCCAGGTCGAGCTTGGCTGTGACGGTGTTCTCCCCGCTCCCCGCAGGTATGAAAGCTGGAGCCAGGCCCGGAGGCACCCCGGGGGCTCCCGCTGGCCAGCCAGGGGCCGAAGGGGACAGCATGTTCTCCAAGATCCTCCCCGGGGGGGCCGCGGAGCAGGCGGGCAAACTGACAGAAGGTGAGCATTGCCCATGCCAGGTGCCGGTGGGCGCTGTCCCAGGCCCTGCAGACGGAGCTGGGTCTGGGGGCTGCCTCCGCTCACCCCGCCCAGGAGGGAGCCTGATGCCTCTCTCCTTTCCACCTCACAGCGGTCTCTGCTTTTGGCAAAAAATTCTCCTCGTTCTGGCTAGGTCCTGGGGTCCTGGGGTCCTGGGGTCCTGGGGCGCGGAGTCTGGGCTTCAGCGGGAGGTGATGTGGCCAGAGCCCAGGGCCCACTCCTCTGAGTGTGGGGGGAGGAGGAGAAGGAGGGACAGGAGGACCCTGTGCCCAGAGGCCCCAACACAGGCTGGCTCAGCAAGTCCCTGCGCCCCACATGGTCCCAGCAAAGGGCAGCAGGGCTCCCAGCCCTGTCCTTCTCCAGCACCCCTGCCCCCAGGGCTCTCCCAGCGAGGAGTGGGCGTTGGGTGGGGCTGGGATGCGGCTCCTCCCAACCTCCACGTGCTCCGCAGGCTCTTAGGCTCTCGATGAGACAGAGGGAGGTGTCGTTGTTGTGGAAAAACCTCTGGGGTCCGAGGCCGGGCGCAGCTCTGGACTCTGCGTATAACAGTGAGTGTGGGACCGGGCAGGCGGGCGGGCGGAGGGCCAGGCCCAATGCCTGCGTGTGATGAAGACACCGGTCATACACTGTCGCTGCAGAGCAGAGTGAGTGCGGGAGACGGGAAAGGACAGAGGAGGGAGGTCCCGGACGGGCAGGCTCCGTCCCAGCCCAGGTCAGCCCGGGGGCGAGAAAGGGCCCAGGTGGGGTGGGGGCCTCCCCCTGGAGCCTTCCCTGGCGTGGCCCCC